CGGGTTCAGTTTTGTATAGATCTCTGAAGATATCATGTTTATTGAATATTACTATTAGGCTGAACAGCCAGTACTCTGTCACAAATAAAGACTTCGTCACGCAACTCTGCACAGGACTGCTCGCTCAACTCTCCGTCAGTCTGTGGCACACGAAGAGCTCTGCGCCAAATAAAGTCAATTCGTTGGTTGGCGTCGTGGTTCAGTTTTGCTTTCACCTCTTTGCGCTCTGCGCTCAAAACAAGTCAATTCGTCATGGCTGTCGACACAGGTTCAGTTTTGTATAGAACTCTGAAGATATCAAGTTAATTGAATATGACTATTAGGCTGAACAGCCAGTACTCTGTCACAAATAAAGACTTCGTCACGCAACTCTGCACAGGACTGCTCGCTCAACTCTCCGTCAGCTCTGCGCCAAAACAAGTCAATTCGTTGGTTGGCGTCGTGGTTCAGTTTTGCTTTCAACTCTTTGCGCTCTGCACTTAAAACAGTCAATTCGTCATGGCTGTCGACACAGGTTCAGTTTTCATAGAACTCTGAAGATATCAAGTTAATTGAATATGACTATTAGGCTGAACAGCCAGTACTCTGTCACAAATAAAGACTTCGTCACGCAACTCTGCACAGGACTGCTCGCTCAACTCTCCGTCAGCTCTGCGCCAAAACAAGTCAATTCGTTGGAGCGCAAAGAGGTGAAAGCAAAACTGAACCCGTGACGCCAACCAACGAATTGACTTGTTTTGGCGCAGAGCTCTGCGTGTGTCACAGACTGACGGGTAGTTGTGCGAGCAGTCCTGTGCAGAGTTGCGTGACGAGTGACAGAGTACTGGCTGTTCAGCCTAATAGTAATATTCAATTAACAGGATATCTTCAGAGTTCTATCAAAACTGAACCTGTGTTGACAGCCATGACGAATTGACTTGTTTTGAGAGCAGACCGCAAAGAGGTGAAAACTGAACAACGACGCCAACCAACGAATTGACTTGTTTTGGCGCAGAGCTGACGGAGAGTTGAGCGAGCAGTCCTGTGCAGAGTTGCGTGACGAAGTCTTCATTTGTGACAGAGTACTGGCTGTTCAGCCTAATAGTAATATTCAATAAACATGATATCTTTAGAGATCTATACAAAACTGAACCCGTGACGGCAACCATCAGCATTGACTTGTTTTGTACTTATAGCTTTATTCACAAGGGTCTAACCAAAAATAAGCGGTGACGCCAACTAAGGAATTGATTTGTTTCGGCGCAGAGCTATTGACTGCAAGCTTGAAACCGACTGAACCCGACCTGTCAGAGCAGCAATAGCCAGCTCTGCGGTACACTGGTACGTTACAAAGCCTAGTAGTCACATTGAACTGGCTTAAAATTCCAAGAGCTCTATACAAAATTGAACCTGTGTCACCAGCCATGACGAATTGACTTGTTTTGAGAGCAGAGCGCAAAGAGGTGAAAGCAAAACTGAACGGCGACGCCAACCAACGAATTGACTTCATTTGGCGCAGAGCTGACGGAGAGTTGAGCGAGCAGTCCTGTGCAGAGTTGCGTGACGAAGTCTTTATTTGTGACAGAGTACTGGCTGTTCAGCCTAATAGTCATATTCAATTAACTTATTATCTTCAGAGCTCTATACAAAACTGAACCTGTGTCGACAGCCATGACGAATTGACTTGTTTTGAGCGCAGAGCGCAAAGAGGTGAAAGTAAAACTGAACCGCGACGCCAACCAACGAATTGACTTCTTTTGGCGCAGAGATCTCTGCGGGTTCCGTCGGTTATAAAGCATACAGAGCTCCGCGACAAAAAGAAGTCAATTCGCTGGTTGTCGTCACTGTTGAGTTTTAATTTCACCTCTTTGAGCTCTGCGTTCAAAACAAGCCAATTCGATGGCTTGCGTCAGTTTAGTACAGAGTTCCAAGGATTTTAAGCCATTTCAGTGTGACTACTAGGATTTGTAATGTACCAGGGGCTCTCCCAAACAAACAAGGCTTCGCAGAGCTCCATGGAGCTGCTCGGACAACCCTAGTTCCGTCGGTTATAAAGCATACAGAGCTCCGCGACAAAATTCGCTGGTTGTCGTCACTGTTGAGTTTTGCTTTAAATTTTTGAACTCTGCGTTCAAAACAAGCCAAATCGATGGCTCGCGTCAGTTTTGTATAGAGATCCTCGGATTCGCGATATCCCAGCAGAGCTCTGCGACAAAATAAGTTAATTCGTTGTACAATAAAGGTCTTTAATTCACTATATAAAGGGCTCTGTAACCTGTGACAAATTAAAAAAATAGTCTACGGAGCTCCAACCGCGGAGCGGCAATTTTCCGTCTCGTAAACGGTCGATGCCATTCGGCTGGTCGATGCCATATCCGAGCAAGGAGTTTCTACTAGGTGTAGAAGCGTACGATAACTTTTTTGGGGGTCAAAAAACTAATAAAAAGTGATATACACTATAAAAAGCAATATTGTAATTGGAAGTACATGTATAAGGGAAGGTCATGTCGAATTGCAAATGTTAGTAAAAAAAGGGCAAGCTGAGATTCAAACCCGGGTCTAAACTCTAAAACCATAACCTAAACCCGTTACCCTAACCTCTACGCCACAAAACATCACGGTGTGGATGGACCATTCTGATACACATAAAGTTAGCCGTTCTGAGATATGGCATCGACCGTTTCAAGAGGCGGCGACCGTTTACAAGACGGAAAATAGCCGCGGAGCTGCTAAAATAGCCCTCCGAGAGTTGTCACAAACAGCTCTGTGACCAGACAAGTTAATTCGTTAAACCTTTTACAGGAACAATATTCAGAGAGACAACATATTTGCTCCATAGAAAACAAATAAGTCCAAACAAACATGCTTTTTCCCAGAATTTTGTTGTGTGATCGATCATGCTGGGTGGCACCCATTGTCCTGTATTTTACAACCAACATCCGCCCTAATAGAGACGGCCACCCGCACACAAAACAAGCCATGCACAGTTGTGAACTAGGTGTGAACGTGATAATCCAAAAGTCAAAAGAGTGCAAAACTGAACCTGCGACCCCAGCCATCGAATTGACTTGTTTTGAACGCAGAGCTCTTCATGCTTTATATTACTGACGGAGCTAGGGCTGTCCAAGAACCTCTATGAACTCTGCTAACTGTTTTGTTTGCTTGGGAGAGCCCCTGCACGAGTAGTCACACTGAACTAGCTTAAAATCCACTGACGCCAGCCAACGAATTGGTTTGTTTTGAACGCAGAGGTGATAGATTTAAAAGCAAAACTCAACAGTGACGACAACCAGAGAATTGACTTGTTTTGTCGCCGAGCTCTGTGTGTGCTTTATGACTAATCTCCAAGCAGATCTTTTGGTGGGGGTAAGACAGTATCAAATTGGCCAGTCTGTATCCATTTCCCCACCCCCATTTCCCCAACCTTGGGTGGGGAAATGGATACAGACTGGCCAATTTGATACTCTTACTCCCGCCAAAAGATCTGCTTGGAGATTACTTTATGACCACGGAGCCAGAGCGAGCTGAGCGAGCACCTCCATGGAGCTCTGCGAAGTTTTGTTTGTTTGGGAGAGCCCTTGGTACGTTACAAAGTCTAGTACTAGTAGTCACATTGAACTGACTCAAAATCTACGAATCTCTATACAAAACTGACGCCAGCCATCGAATTGACTTGTTTTGAACGCAGAGTTCAAAGATTTTAAAGCAAAACTCAACAGTGACGACAACCAGCGAATTGAGCTGTTTTGTCGCGGAGCTCTGTGGGGGTATCGCGGAGGGCTGTACGAGCAACCTCCATGGAGGAGCTCTGCAGAGCTCCTCCATGGAGGTTGCTCGTGCAGCCCCTTCTCTTCCAGTCCAGCTGAGCATTAAGGCCTTTTTTCTGATAGCGTATGTTTCTGGCTGGTATTTCTGAATACTGCCGTCCCATAACCACTAATATTAATTGAATCCATGCCCCGTAAACCTCACCAGCCTCCGTTAATGGGTCTGGGTGGCAGGACAACACTTCCAGTGCCGTAGAGATCCCATGGAGCTGCTGGCGTTATGGTTACTAGGTTCGCGTTGTATCGGCAGTTTGCGTTCTTGAGGCACTGTTTTACTGTATGTCTTTTTTCAGAAATATAAATTCATGACAACATGTTTTGTTTCCCCCGTTGGCAGGGTGACTATGTTTTCATGTATGACACACCGATGTTGGAGTACCTCACCATGAAAGACGAGAACTGTGAAATGATGATGGTCGGCAAGTCTTTCCGCCATCTTGGATACGGGTTAGCAACCCAGCACGGAAACAGGCTGTCACACATGCTTTCATTAGGGTGAGCCATTGATAATCACTCATCGGCACCATATAATATGTACGTAATGTTCAAAGCAAAATTGTTAATCTACTGTTAAATTTGAAAAGTAACGTTATTTACTTCCGGGTAGGGAAATATTGTTTTGGGTGGCTGAGAAAGGTCAGACACAGGGTTTGGGCTGAACATGGAGGTCATGAAAACACAAAATACTTCCTGAAAGTCTACAGCTGATATCTCCTATATCCTACTTCACTTCACTTCACTGCTCCACAAAATTCCTTTTGTCGTATATAGTAAATGAAGGCAATGATTAACCATTTCGTTGTTGTGTGTTCATTTTTCTTAAACTCCAGTATTTTAAAGCTGAAAGAAGCGGGAAAAATAGATAGATTTCGTAACGTCTGGTGGGACACGGATGGCCAGTGTGCGCTGGACGGGGGGATCACCACACAAGCGGGAGCAGACCGACTCGGACTGGACAGCTTCTACGGAGTTTTCGTCATTGTTGCCGTCGGAGTAGCGCTAACAATCATCTATCTGGCGGTGGAAGTCATTTGGACGTACTGTTGCAAGCCAAAGACACAGATGGTATGGAAACATTATACTCTCGAACATTCATAGTTTTCCTCACGGCAACTTTCTTTCTTTTACTTCTGTGCTCAGACTTACCGCACACTCCTTGTAAGTTTAATTGAGAAAAAACTTTTAGATATGAATTCGATACTTTTGTTTACTCTGTAGAGTATTTCGACCATATTCGACATATCATTTACATTCTATTTACATTATCCCATAATGAATAACTCATATATATAATCGTCAGCGGATCCTCCACATTGAGTACAATCAGGGAGAAGGAAACGAAGAAATCAATATTACTTAGGTCGCGAATTTCTTTCATGGGACTAACTGTGATATACTATATGGTCTTGCAATGGTTCAGAATGCATGCCTGTGAAGCCAGCACGTTGCATGTTTTTGCTAGATGGGTGAATCCTGGTCCCCTGCCCCTCGGGGCCCCGATGACCACGGCCCGTTCCCTGTACCTGGGGCCCCAGATGACCACAGCCCGTTCCATGTGGTCATGAAGGCAGGTTGTGAGTGTGGGCCTCTCTCGTGCTTCTGTAAGGTAACGCCCAAAGTCAACAGTATCGACAGCAAAACTTAGTTTGTGTTTGTGTCGAATGTGGTTGAAATACTGACTAGGGCAGCGTAGAAGTTTGAGAAAAACAATTTCAGTTGAATTATGGAGTAGTGAGGTGTAGTCTGTAGAGACTGTGTCTGTAGCGGATTGTGTACATATCAGAACCTATTGATGAGTCAATCTTCTATGTTGGATATCGTAGCATATTCAAGAGATGATCTTTGAGGGTTTTTTAAGCTTCTTACTTTTAACGCCATATTCAAATGTTGAAAGTGTAAACATGTTATATATTTACAGTCGGAAACAGAGTTTTCTCTGACCAAGCAAGAATCTTCACATCAAAGACTGTTGGAGAAAGACTTCCTTCGAGCTATCGATAGCGGCATGGTGCAGATCTTCATCAAGAAGACAGGGAGCGCTACTGCAAATGGGATTGTTGCAAATGGGGACAGATCGTTGTAGACTGTCTAATTTCGGAACGAATTGACTTTCTGTTGCCAGGAACAAAAAGAAATCGGATCGTTTGCTCCCTGGATCGAAAGATTGTTGTGAATGTTGAAGGAAATGCAGTAGATTTTCTTATCTATAAAATCAGTCTTTGGATGGATACTCTCCTAAAGATAAGTTGCAGATAAAAGAAGTATAATGAAATATGACTATTGTAAAAAGTATCTTAATATATTAGTGGACTATGAAAAAAAATACGTGTATATTGTATATCAACAGAAACTGTTGTAACAGTAAGAAACAGTAAAATTTGTATTCATCATTGTCCGAGTTTCCTAGTTCAACAACCTAATGTTGTAAGAAAGTTAACTTTATTTTGATTTTGACATCACCCACTTTACTATGACATGATTTTATATCAGTTACCAAGAGACGTTTTATTTGAATATATACAATATCGTATTAACATGTTAAAATAGATAGACATGGATGGATCTAGGGAACCCCAAAAAATAAAGAATTATTGGATAAGATAAGAATGTAAACGTCAAAAATTGCAATGGTTTAAAGTATTTTGTACCGTGAACATTAGCTACTACCCTATTCGTATTGAGACAAGCTTGAAATGTTTTAGAAAATACAGCATTTCACATAAAGATACATCACTGAATACAAGAATTGAATGCAATTTATCGCTTAACTATGTAAATTGAACATATATTGTACATAGTTGATGTTTATTTCCTGTACGTAAATGTATAGGTCATTTTGGTTAAGTATTGTCATACGTTTAAGTGTTTTTTTTACTCTAATTAAAGTTTTGCAACGTTCAGTAGTCAGTCCTTGTAAAATGTGCCAAGTTTTGACTAACCTTTACTAAGGCTTTAGTCGTATTTAGTCCGTACTGATCTTAGTATAGAACCACTTTTTGTCAGAATTAGAAAGCAAGATAATCGAGAAGCTTTCTAATTTTCCATTTTTCGTACCTTTGATTATTGTTTATAATTTATAACTAGTATCTAGTATAGAACCACTTTTTGTCAGAATTAGAAAGCAAGATAATCGAGAAGCTTTCTAATTTTCCATTTTTCGTACATTTGATTATTGTTTATAATGTATAACTAGTATCGATGTTGAAATGAGTCTTACATAAACGGGCTGTTTTATGCTTTGTTGTAATAAAGGCATCACAACTCATTAATGTCGGTGGTCGTTCTCGCATTTTGTCTTCATTATAATTTTACTTTTCATCTGGAACATTAGTGAATATAAAAATGTATGATCATCCATATCTTTGGTGTAACAACACAATTGAGTAATGATATAGAAAAAAATATGTTGTTTCACGGGAAATGTGATAAGTCATTGATTTCTGAAATTAAGGAGTTAAGAAGCATTGCTAATTGCTCCAGTAGACCGGCTTTAATTAATCAACTCAAGCTTAACCATTCGTAACTCTGTCCTCATCTGTTGCTATGTTTCTACTCTGTCATGGAATGAATTATTCAACATTGTCCTCAGGTTATCGTAATACATCATGCCACAATGGACAGCTTTGTTATATATTATGTTTAGTACCATTGAAGTTGCTGTTAAGATGTTCCCTGGATCAACATAAATCCCTTCACACTTAAAGCAGAGATATGAAGCGGATATGACAAATTTATTCAGTTAGCACATTGCATTTATTTACAGGCAGTAGTTTTTATCATTATTTACATACGCATATCATTAGTATGATATTCTTTTACAATTTTTTGCAATTTTGCATTTCCTTAACGGACACTTTAATCAGCAAATCTAACCAGGTGTTATTACAAGACATGAGCACATTAACTTGAATCAAATACATTTACAAGCAATGTAAATTCATTTACATTGCTTTCAAGGCAATATGTATATCAAGCATATTTTACAGCTACAAGCATCTGACTTTCATTCCAAACCGATGAACTCTTGTGTTAGAGTCAGTTAATAGAGACCAATACGACATATATGGCTTCCGTTGATTGTTTGTTAATTTACATCAAGACTACATGCAGCGTTGGGCATACGGCTGAACAGTCATATAGGAGACCTCTCTGTAATTGAAATGGTGCTGTAACGATCGTGGGTTGTCGTAAGTTTTTGATGTCGCAATACTTTCAAGCAGGCTGAATTAGCTGTACTAACCTCGGGGAAGGATCTAAGGCAGCCTTTTCCGTAACACGTACAAGATAGCTAAATCTTTTTAGGACACATGCACGGCTATCCCAAGAATGCACGCATTCAGGATAACACGCTTGTTGGAAAGGCCATAGAGTATCAATAAATATCTATAGCGTTCCAGTCCGGTACGGGAGCCATTCTGCCCCACTGGGCCCTGTCATTCCAGTCCGGCGTGGGAACGCCCAGTGTCTTCCCCCACTGCTGTGCGGACGGGTGGACCCTCCTGGCTCTCTGCACGCGGATTTCACACAGAATCAGCACGGTGAACACAGGAACGTACACCACCAGGATCAGCAGGATGGGCAGGGTGATGTAGATTGGCGGGTCGCCCAAAATATCGTTCCTTTCGATGATCATTTTCTTTATCTCTTCTTCGGTGAGTTTGCGGCTGGGGGTCGTCTCGGGTGGAGCGGGAAGACTGGATCCCACCCCTGAGCCGGTTGTATTTGTCACACTCTCAGATTGAGTCAACGTGGCTGCAATGTAAGAAATATGACTACTTCAACAAGGTTATTTATCAAACAGTTGTATCATTCACCACAAAGATGTACATTGCACATTGGCGCATTGATACAACAGGAAATTCTACTTCCTACATTTAATGATAGTTTTATATAGTAGATTTATATGACAATGCAGTGAATTAAAGAAAGATCCAATAAAAATAGCTACTCGACATGGAAGTTTACTTTCTACGCATTTAATGTACGTTTAAAGCGCTTCGAGGTAATTGCAACATCAGGAGTAGCGACAAACCTACCTGTCACTGTGACTAGCCAGAGACAGAGAAGCCAAGAATCACCCATTTTCCGCCGTCCCCAGGATGTAAATATTGATACGTCCCGCTGTGTGGCTCTCTCCTGTCAGTTACCCGGACACCAGATGGCCCGTGCAACCAAAAGCAAATTTTGAAATTCTTCTAGTTTAAGTACCTTGTATGTCAAAGTACGAAATCACAAAATTTGTCTGAAACCCTTTCTTCCCAGAAAGTATTAAAAAATTCAAGAACTGCGTGATGTAAAAGCTCGTAGTTGACGATGACCTTTAAGAAGCTATCCTAAGGTAGGCTAACATTAACTATTTATTGGGTGAAGATCGGGTACTTCATTTGTTCGCGTTCAACAGTTTGACGTGATCTGTGATCGGCCATGATCTATTGAGGTGAACAAATCCCGTTCTGACGTGGCCCCTTTAAGAAAACAATGTACTCATGTTAATTATTCATGCGTCGTTAATGCGTTTTAGATGTCTCTTAGTAGTCTTTTGTTGGTCTAGTGGCACGAGGACGTTTTGGTGTCACGTTATCCAGACCAAAGAAAACCCCAAGGGATTGGGTCCCTGTTGTAAGACTAGATAGATTTTGATATCCCGTGGCGATTTGCTAAACGAGCATGTCATTATATGTCATGATAATCCGGCATTTAAAAGACTTACCATTGTAAAACCCTTAAGTTATAGTGTTGTATGAAAATATTTGATATAATCATACTTAGAGTCTTCGACGTATAACATACCAGCTGCAAAGGGCTAACTCCGTTATTCATCGTCAGTTTTCTTACCTTACAACGACATGTATAATACCGTTATAAATTCATGTAACTGTATCATTTCATGGGGCAAACCGATGTGCCTTTGTGTACATCAACATTTAAAACTATGTAAATAGGACACTTGAAAAGCTTACAGCTTTGTTTTACAAGAGAATGTGGTATAGGCTTAATTATGCTTAAAATAAATCCAATGGCTTTCATAAAATGGTTTATTGATGGTCGGCATTCAGTCGTAGACATATCATCAAATTATCAATCAAAGAGCAAACCATTATATTCAGGAAGAAACAACGATATTTCATAACGTACTCGCATCTGGTTCATATGCTGGTTACATCTCTGACATTCTAAAGACATACCAGATATAATGAGAGTCATATTGTTTTCCTTGCTCAAGAGTTGTTTAATATATACAAGTATAGAAGTGTATAAGACCAACGAGGAATTTATTCATTTATTACAATTCTACACACATACATGGAAGGCATGGTGGAACAGGTGGACATAAGTACACCTTTTCAAAGCTACCATGCCGACAAGGTCATACAAGTGCATGCGAATATAATACAATATTCGATACATAACATTACATTTCAATTAAATGGATATATTAAGCGAGGCCTATTAGCACACCAAGGCAGGCGGTACAGCCACAGGAATATACAGGAATATACCCCCGTCTTTTGCATTCAAGAATCCTACACTAGTAAACAACTTAGCTTGGCGGAAAGGTGCAGTGTGACGTCATTTTACCTGACACGTGAACAGCGTGACTATGCCATGGTTCACAAGCGTATACCGTGCAGTCAATACCAGGTCTGAATTGGTGTCCGTAAACAGTGGAGGTCTGACTTAAGATTTGATACATAAAACCGCTTCTTTTGATGTGCAATTGCATCTCTGCATATCCCTCTGTGTAACCTTTCAACCTCTGACGTTGGTACCTAAGAGGTGCAAGCTATGTTTCTATGGTAATGAACATACCGTGTACACTATCGGATCATATAATGTTCTCTATTTACAATATACATTCATATCGTAGACTGTTACAGTATCTACGTAATGGCGACAACCCCTCCATTGTCATTGGAGACCAATGTTTTGTTTCCACCAATGGGGTGTACCTTAGTTATGCTCTCGTTGGATTTCGCTGACAGTGCGCAGACTCCCAGACCTATGCACAGTAGAGCCAGGACGCCCATTGCAGCCAGCATTCCTGTCGTCAGTTTTTCACCCGTGCTCAGTACTTGGCCTGCGCCTAAAAATTCATGGGAAAAGTGCTAAATACTAACGAAGGTAGCCGACATTTCTTCCAATGACAACATGGTCCGGACCTGTTATTTTCATTTAGAATATAGAATACGCTATAGAAGTGTTTTAGATGTAAGAATTTAAGCTGCAGGTAGTGTAACTATAGTAGCAGGCACCATGACTACATACATATATTGATTCAGGGAGGAATGCTTGTGGTACGCGATATTGATGCAGCATTATTTCAAAATTTTAATTATTTTATTAACAGCAAAGATGGATGTACAAACGTTTTTAGGTAAAAAACAACTTTATTCACGGACGACTGAACAAAGATTGTTTAACATTCGTGCCGATGACACACCTTAAGCTTATGACACATCCTGTAACAAACTTACGTGGGTCTTGAAATGTTCTCTCCTCCGTTGGGACTTGGGTGGCATGCTGGGTTGTTCCGTCACTGCAAGTTGTTTCCGTTGATAATTTACATGAGAATTAAAGAAAGAAATTGCAAATTGTAATTTGATAAAGGAATAATAAATATCTTCAATATGTTCGCTATATGGCAAGCCACGTGTGTTTGTCTGATGTTTGGAACGTATGAGAATGGTTTAGAAATGAGTAACTACTTGATGTCTGAAGTTGAGCCGTCACTTGTAAGTGACCGCTGATTGTCCGTTGAGCGATAAAACCGAGTTTTGTTACCCTTTATTTAATTAGTGGATATATGATGCATGTAAAAGTGTGCTTGTGAATAAAGACAAAAAACACACTAAACGTAAACAAATCCTTTCTTTGTCTATGAGACTTGTTGAGCGACCTGTCATTTTTTTCATCTGTCGCAGCCTCTAGTGGATAGGGGTTGTTAAGCAGTGTATTTCAGCCTTGATGTTTTAAAACTACTAAATAGGCGGACGTTACCTTGCTGTGCTGGACACGATTGGTGATTGGCGATTGGTGATCACCACTGGGGGACCCAGCCTGGCTGTTTGGCTTACTGGAGTAGACGCCGGTGTGGAATGTGCAGTAGGGTTGGTGCTGTCTGCTGCGGTTGTAGCTGTTGCACGTGTTTGCGATGATGATAATGTAGACAGTAATGAGTTTAACGTCCCTAGCCACGGTGATGAGGACAATGCAGGCGGAGCAGTAGGTGGGGATGCTGAATTCAGGGTTGGGTTTGGCATTGCCTGGGAAGTATCTGTTGGATTTGAGGCTGGTGGAGAAGAGAATGCTGACGACGACGATGCTCTCCTTGTTGTTGTTGGGTTGCTGGACGTTTGTGACGAGGACGTGTCAGTGATAGCCATGTTGCCACTAACTGAAGGCACATCCTCGGTTGACATACTTACACTAGGTCCCTGCATATTTGAGACTGTGAAGTTTGGCGGCGTGACATTAACAGTAGGCACTGTGCCACTGATATAAAAGTCTGTTGAGTTATCGGTAGGCGGTAGCCAGGTTCCGTCGGTCACATTCCAACATTCTGTCGGACCTGTCAAAATTAGAATAAAAGTTAGGCCCCTGTCACACATTCAGGAACTTTCCTTGACCAATTAAAAAGGTTGGCGGTGGGTTGCAAGAAATCTGACCATGCAAATCTATGCCACATCTATCTTTCGATTAGAATCGAATCAAAATTGAGTTAAATTTGAGTCAAATTTGACAGCCAACCACCACTGACCTACTCTCAACCACCAGCCAACCAGTCCATAATACCATGGCCCAATCTCCCGACCACACCCGATTGGTTTAAACATTTTTTAAACATTCGGCTGGCGCAGCCGAGAAGTAATCAACCCCGCCGAACACCAGCCAAGGACAGCTGGCCTTGCTCCCGATCTACTCCCAATCATGGCTGGGAGAGTTCGTCAGTGTTCGGGAGGCCATATATATGTGACAAGGGCTTTAGAGTAGGGGTATATGTAAACTTAGACTATATATATCCAATGATGCGCCCAGTTTAAGACGAACTTCACCGGTTCTTATGTATATATGATGCTCATTTAGCGATTTTTCAATACTACTACAAATTGATATGGAAACGTAACGTTAACCGCGATTCTGTAGATACTAAGAAACACTTACCGAATACAGAGGCAGCTACAGCCAAGAACACAACGTACATGTTGTTCATGGTTTCCTGTATGGGCTCAGCGTTCTGTGCTATACTGCTTAAATTCCCTTGAAATGAGCACCTAAATACTTGGACGGGTCTATTAAATCAGCACCATTGCATGCAATCGGTCGCGTGCAAGGGATGCACTCACATGCATGAAATGGAGTTCACAATGCGTCCATTTGACGCGGCTTTAGAGTCCAATTTTCTCCCATTGAAAAGTTAGAAAATACGTTTTGCTATAGTTAATCCATTTTTGTCATAGCAACAATTACCTTTATCTATAAATGTTTTGAACGATACTGCAGTGTACATGTACCTGCTCACAATACCCAAGCTGTAAGGTAAAGGTATAGCCCTATAGGACTGCAAATAGTCCGTGTGCTGGTATAGAATTTCCATGAATACGTAGGAATTTGAGCCCCGTTTGACTATGAATAGAAGGCATGTCGCAGACTATTGCATGGCACAATGCAATCTAATAAACTGATGCATTTCTCTGAAATAGGATTTGCTGTGTACTTTGTCCAATCGTTAGCGTGACGAAACCATTACCACCAACAGAGAGGCCCTGTTGTAGATACGGATACGCCCAGATCAGCCTGCCGATATGTCAACAAAACGTTTCCAAGTACGTAATCAGCCACCTTTTACCACTTAAAAGCCGTTCGATTCAAAGCACACATAATAGATAGTTATTGAGTGTCTAACGTTGATCCATTACACCTATTATAACTTAATAGTCGTTTTGCAGCACGTTGATATTATTAATAGTGCATCATTATTTATAGGACCTGGTTAGTGTCCGTATAGTGCCGATTAGAGCACTGACTTTGCTTTACATGCAAGTGATAAAGATGAAAACTATTATTTTGGACAAAGCAATGGCTTCTTACTAGTCATCTGCCATTATATGTAAGTTAGAGTGAGGGTAAATTTCATTGTTTAAACATTTATCCCATGGTATCGGCATATGTTTTTAATACTAACCAAGAAAGAATCCATTCGTACGACCTGTAACTAAAGGATAAGCACTTACCTTCAATGGAGCTTCACTTATTACCTTCGCCAAGAATTGGAGAAGGTTATGTTTTCCTGGCCGTGTGTGTGTGTGTGTGTGTGTGTGTGTCTGTGTGTGTGTCTGTGTGTCTGTCAACAGCATAACTCGAGCTTGGATGGATTATCTTGACATTTGATAGGTGGGTAGGTCTTGATGAGAGCTCGAACTGATTAGATTTTGGGCCCCCTGGCGGCTTGTCATGGTACTGCAGCTGAACTTCCGGTTTTGATATCTCATGATCCAGACATGCTAGGGTGACGAAATTTGGATGGCAGGTAGCTCTTGTGCTGGGGAAGAAGTGACATGAGTTTGGCCCCCCTAGTTAAGTTGCTTTCTCTAGAACTGCAGGGGTTTTAAAGGACAAATGTTTAAAGGAGGATAACGCAAGAACCGATTGATGGATCATCATGATTTTTGGTATGTAGGTAGCTTGAGTAATGCTTGACATAATGATATTAAAATTATGCAAATATGGATGTAATTTGCATAATTAATGAGGAAATTCTATTAATCAGCTGCATTCCATGATAGGAAGTTCAAGCTTGCGACATATGTTATTAAGAACGAGAGAAACACAGGCAGATATCGATTATGCAAATGAAGACCTAATTTGCATATGAGAAAATGTTATAATTGCATAGTGGTAACTGCCTGGAATTTTATACTTGGGGTGTTTGAAGTTTAGTGAAGGTGAACATAATTTAACATAACTTATTCAAATAAGGACCTCATTTGCATAATATATGAGGAAATGCTATAATGGCTTTCTTTGTTAAAACAAGACTGTTGGTGGAGATTATGATCAACAGATATAATTCATGCAATTGCGGATCCTACTTGCATAATCAGGGGGATTAATACATTGTATATAAGTTCTTATTCATAAAAGCTAACATCATTTGGCGAAGGTATGAGATCGTGGAACTCTAGTGTTGTTTATCAGTTTCGTTTGTTCGGTTAAAGGAAGAACTCACAATGCCTGGTTGAATATGTTTTATTATTGGGACAGCTACATTGCACATTGTACTATTACATTAGTTAGTAATATGTACAGAACTCATAGTCCGTTGCCATTCCAGTCCAAGTTTTTCGGTCCATCCTTGATATTGAATACATATGCACATACAACATACGTCACACAGCAAACATTACAATAAACAATTAATAATTTTGAATGCTGACATTTCCAGAATGAGTTTTCTAAATATTTTCAAATCTCAGTGGCGTGTCTGTTCCGATAGCCGAGGAGAGAAACACAACTGAGACGCCTCTAGCTCACAAATCTTGAAATATGCATGCAAGAACATGCGCTCATATATGAATGGTTGTTAGTATATATACTAGTATAGCAGTAGCTATAGGTGCCTTACACTGTACTTTGTACCGTGCATTATTGTGCAATAAAGTTTACTATATACAGCACTGGTTTATATCAGATCATGTCCATCGTCCGCCCAAGCCTGCCGTGGTCCCGGGGGCTGTGCTTGGGACTGGATCTTCTTTTTCACGATGATCCAAACAGCGAAGGAAATCCCTCCTACTGCTACAAGAAGCGACCATAGGTAGTGGGGTGCAGGTGCTGATTTCGGATCTTTAAAGCAGCAAAACAAGGAAACAAAGGAGAGAGAATTGAACGGGAGGCATGCGAATTAAAATGTATAATGCCTACATTTCGTAAACGCGGAAAGGTACTGATTGTCCAAACCAGGAAAAACCAATGTAGCAACATACGACGACTGGAATCAGAACAATTCTGTGTTTTTAAATGTTCGCGACAGTTTCTTTTCGCTGTGACCTTTCCATCACAAATTCATTGCAACGTGAATTGTATTTGAAATGCATGGCTACTGTACTATGGAATTGTTTCAAACATCTGCCTATCACGAATAAAACCATCGCAAAAGTAAATAAACTTACAGTATTAACGTAACTAAAACTACAGTATATCTGATACTTTTCCTTTTATAATAGCTTTATTTTGATACAAAAGCTAGCTGATTGTAGCTTCACTGTCTTACCTGGAGAGGTGGCTATGATGGGAAAAGGTGTTCCGATGTTCTCTGTCGGTGATAAATCATGTCAAATATTTATGACTCCCACGTTCAAAAATTAATAAAAACACCGAGACATCATGATCACAGCAAATTACAACAACAACAACAACAAGACAACAATAATGATTATGGTATTCTTATATAAACGAAACAACATCTACAATACATCTTTAATTACAAGAAAAATAAACAAATTATAAGTAATATGATATGCACACGTCTAAGACTATTCAATACACACGGAGATATCTGTGACTAAAATATTTTATACATTAGTCCTTTTAATAGATAAAATAGGCAAACATTCCTTTTCCAATTACCAAATGCTCAATTCAGCGTATAGAGTAAATTAGTTCTGACCTACCTCTTGCACGTACTGAACATATCTGAGTCGGTTACAGGGATAACATTTCAAACATACCATACAATGATTTGAATCACATCATTGTTCAGGAAACTTGATGTGACCATGATTTATTTCATTACATAGTTATTTTAGTCAATCATTATAACAATGCTTGGAGCGAATGTTAGCTGTTTTTTAAGTGCTCAGTTGTAAAACTTGGGAAGAGGAGTCGTATTCCCAGGGTTTACTCTCATGGCACTTGACAAACGTTTATGTTTACCATCGGGGACATTTGTGTAAGTTTAGTTTATTTTGTAATTTGATGTATTTCTTTGAATTTATTTGTGATCGCGGTGTTTATTAATTGATATGCATATTATAATTTCGTATAATAACAGACACATTGTCCTTATATGGAAATCTACGACATCTGATTTTTCTTTTAGAGACGGGGTTTACCTTGCCTGATCACTAATTTGGCACTCAATAAACATTACATGGATTAAAAGTAATCTACTGCATGCTCAAACAGGTGAAAGCGTTATTTACATACCAATGCAGTAGGTGCCATTGCCGGAGTAGCCTTCCTTGCAGATACAACTAAAGGAGCCCTTGTTGTTGGTACAATTGGCGTCATCGTGACAACTGTGTGTATTTGAGACGCATTCGTTTATGTCTGGAAAAAAAGAGTATTTTATTTATTTTTTTATTCTACGGTACTAGAAACGAGTGCAAACACAAAAGTGATACTTGAAATGCAAACAGTTGTTTGATTGCTTATTTGTACGGTTGCTACCTTCGCATGTGACTCCATCGCCGCTGTAGCCTATTTTACATGTACAGATGAAGGAACCCTTGGTGTTGGTGCAGAAAGCATCGATGTGGCAGTTGTCAAGGTTTCTCTGACACTCGTTAACATCTGTACGGATAATCAATAATAATGACAGTCAAGGCCAAAGTCTCTGGTTTGGTACTGGCCAGACTTAAATCTAGTTTAAGCAGAAGTCTATTTGATCAAGAAGGTACACATATGTCATCACAATACATATGTGAGGAAACCTTTTATTTAGAACCCTACATTAATTTTAACTAACAGATTTAAAGATAAAAGTCCACCCTTTAGATTCTCCAATAAACCATACGTTACCAAAGCTTCTTTCTTCATCACGTGGGTCCAAGTTTGCTGCTAGATTTTACAATAGAATGCCACTAGGTTCAAAATTCGTAACTTTTTTCTATCTGACATGTGTCACCCGTAAGATAGAATGTGATGTACCCGAGCAAGTCACGCCGTCTCCAGAGTAGCCAGTGTTACAGTCACAGCTGAAGGAACCCTGGTTGTTGGTACAGGTGGCGTCGTAATGACAGTTATGGGTACCCTCGACGCATTCATCGATATCTGCAATTCACAGCGGTGACTGTAAGCTGTAGTTTATTCGCTGACTGTGTGCTAACTTTGTGCTCACTATTTTTTTAATTTGCTGTAATTTTCAAGCTATAGTTATCAAGATCAAAAGGCATGAGCAATAGTTTATAACAACTCTTTTCAATACATACCCTGACACGTAACACCGTCCCCATGATATCCAGTATTACAGGCACAGGTGAATGACCCGGGTGTGTTGGTGCAGGCAGCGTTAGTGTTACAGTTATGTGTGCTTTCCTCACATTCATCGATGTCTGAAGAGAGGGCAATTGATGGTTTGATTTAGTGTCAAAAGTGAAGCAAGAGTCTTTTTTGTAGTTTTAGCTATTCTTTGCATTTTACATATCCTGGTAATATAAACTATCATGAAATGGTAGCAATTTTTACCTTGCCATGATTCACCAGGGTAAGAAAATGATAATTTCTAACACAATTATGAAGATTCTAACACATCCTTTTACCATTGATGTCAGCCATTCATTTGAATATATACCTGAGCACGTGACGCCGTCCCCTTGGTATCCAGTGTTACAGGTGCAGATGAAGGATCCCTTGTTGTTGGTACATTGGGCGTTACCATCACAGTTGTGTGTGTCTGACGTGCACTCGTTAATATCTGATGGAAATGAATGTAATTCATTTCTCTCACTGGTACGTATAAAACCCTATAAACAAATCACCTCTCCTTTTTTACGCTTGTCATTATAGTTTCGTAATGCTTCGTAAGGCGATTCTGTTCACTTGACATAAGCAACGTACAGATAATACGGTAACATTATATATTCACAACACCACTGTACCTGGGCAAATCTTGCCGTCCCCGGAGTAGCCGGTGTTACACTCACAGGAGTAGGAACCGTCAGCGTTGGTGCAAGTTGCATCGGCATGGCAGTCATCGGTTCCTTCGTCACATTCATCAATATCTGAAGAAAAAAATGCTCAGTCATTTTAAAAGTACACTACACAAACAACAGCTTTTCTAACATAGTAAAACGCAAGGTAATTGTTATCTATATCAATTACAGTAAAAACTAAATCATTAGCACAGTATACGATGCATACATTGTATACTATTGTTGCTCATTGTTAACGTCCATGCAAATCATGGTGTCATGCGTTAAATTTACCTGAGCAGGTGACGCCGTTTCCTCGGTATCCAGTGTTACAGGTGCAGATGAAGGATCCCTTGTTGTTGGTACATTGGGCGTTACCATCACAGTTGTGTGTGTCTGACGTGCACTCGTTAATATCTAACAGATACAAATGTAAAGAAACCGTTTTGATTTTATCAATTGGAAAATATCAAGATATTTGTTCTTGAATATTGTTGACAAAATTATTATTGGCGCGGCCAGTACCCAATAATATCTAACCCCAACACTCTACTTGACTTTCTCTTATGTGCTTGTCGTCACACTTGGCTTTATAACCTCCGTGACTCTTGTCATTTCTAACACAGAATGCTGACGATACCTCCCTTACTTCTTTGTGATAAATGTTTACCTGTGCAAATCTTGCCGTCCCCGGAGTAGCCGGTGTTACACTCACAGGAGTAGGAACCGTCAGAGTTGGCGCAGGTTGCATCGGCATGGCAGTCATCGGTTCCTTCGTCACATTCATCAATATCTGAAAAAAAAAGGGATTTAGAGACTGTATATTGCGACATTTACCCGTTTAGTTATGTATCGATATGTATATGTAAGCATTGAACAAGATGTCGAAATGCATGTTTAGTCTTCCGGAAGTTTTTATGTTTGTTTTGAACGCCCATTTTCTTTGATTTGATCCTTTGACAGTACTTACTTACCCAGAAATAACTAGATATAGTATGTAATAATTGGAGAATACCTGCACAAACCACGCCGCTTCCTCTGTACCCAACGTTGCAGGAACAGGTGAACGACCCAATGGTGTTTGTGCAGCGGGCATTGATGTCGCAGTTATCGGTATCTTCCTGACACTCATCGACATCTGAAAACGCAAACAGCAAAAAAAAATATTCAGTCATTAATATATGAAGTATCCAAAACATTTTTGATATATGACCGACAAAGGTTAAGGAAAAATAGATAGAACTCAAGCTCCTAGAAAATATTAGTACATTAACACATTTATCTAAACCCCAACGTCGATTGTTAGGGTTTGTAGTCTAACTTGACTTGTTTCGTCAAAGATAATGCCGCTGATACAGTACCTGAACAGGAGACCCCATCCCCTCTGAACCCGTCATTACAGGTACAGTGGAACGAGCCGACAGTGTTGTGACAGGTCGCCTGGTCGTGACAGTTGTCGGTGTTAGATCCACACTCATCGATATCTGTAATAATCAGATAGTTAACGTTGTATAAATGAAATAATTTTGATGGAAATGGCGTGTATCATCTATGTTCTTTGATTTCCTATTAGCGAGAGACTTTTGCAGTGTCAATTTCCAAATTGGTTTACTAAGCATTTCTACCCGATGTTGTACATAGCATAGTAAGCCATATCGATAACATACCTCTACAAGTGACGCCGTTTCCAGTGAATCCTTCATTACATGTGCATGAGAAGGACCCGGGTTCATTGGTGCAGGTGGCCTCCGTGTGGCAGTTGTCTGTGCCCAGGGCACACTCGTTCATATCTGTGGGTAGACATTAGTACAATTACGTACATTGTCATGAATGAATATGCAAAGTACAGGGAAATGTGGGTTTGGCTACAATAATGTGAATTATAACTTAAGGATGTTATGTACTAAAAGTATAAGATAATTGATAGGTGTTAGACAGAATGATGACACGGAAAGATACTGAATCGAAATACATTACCTGAGCATTCCTGACCACTGCCAGTCCACCCTTCGTTGCATACACATAGCGAACCCCCCTCGATGTTGATACATGTCGCGTGCTCGTCACAATTATGAAGATTCAGCAAGCATTCCTCGACATCTAGGAAACATTCAACACACGGCGGTAATGCAAAAAGCAGATTATTAAAAGAAATTCATATAACTTCACAACAGCTACCTACATTACAAACTGTAACCCCTGTACCTTAAAGTAGGGTGTCCAACTCTGATCGTCTATCACTATACTAGTATTTTAAACAAACTGAAGTGGCTGTAATTTTCGCATAATATATGCTCACATAGATGACATAGTATGTGCTATACCTGTGCAATAGATTCCACTTCCAGTGAAGCCCGCGTTACAGGTACAGCTGAAGGAGCCGTCCGTGTTGATACAAGTTGCATCTTTGTGGCAGTTATGGGTGCCTAAGGTACACTCATCATCATCTGCGATACATATGCACAATAACTCCATCAATTGATGCATTGGTTTGGCTGTAAATGTTACGCAGTATCTATACAATGTATGAACTGTCCCAAAGGACCTTTAAACAGTAGGATACATAATATACAAAAATCACTGCAGCTTTGTTCTGCAAAACGTACCTATCCATTACACGTGACAATGTGATTGACTTAAGGCTGATGCCCTCATTTTGTGTTGGGAAAACTTTCATGCGAAACCTTGTTGATTTACTGACTATATTACTATGTTAAGTCAAACGTCGACAGCGCCATGGCGATAGAATTGGAGACGTAGAGTTTCCCGGCAGGCAAATCATGGACCTATTTACCTGTACAGGAGACTCCGTCACCAGAGTAGCCGTCGTCGCACTCGCAGGAAAATGACCCGATGCTGTTGTAACAGGTGGCATGTTCGTGACAGTTGTCCAGACCTGCGTCGCATTCGTGGACATCTGCCGAGTAATAAAGATGATGGGATGGTCATGAAAACATATCAAGTAATACATCGGGTACCTAGCGAATGGAATGCGTCCGTAAATTGTTGACTCACCATGCCTACCGATTTTGTTGGCTGCATCCAGAAAGTTTGGTCATAGCATTCAACACCGATAGTGATGTGAAAATACTTGAACTCACCTGTACAATCCAGGCCAGTGCCGGCGAACCCATTGTTGCAGTGACATGTATAGGAACCGATGGTGTTTTCACAGCTGGCATTGGCGTCACAAGAATCCGTACCGTCGGCACACTCATTCACATCTGAAATGATTGGACTACATATTAGGTTGTCTATATATGATTAGAAAGACCATAGCACACGTGTTTCAGGTTTTTCATCTGTCATATTTTTTTCAATATCTGTCGGATTCGTCTAAAACATAAGCGCATCGAGTGTCAAGGAGAGATGGGCTTTGCCTTCTAATACCTTGCCCTAGATACAGTGGGTTAATGACCCACTGTCCATACGGCCTCAAAAAGGCTTAAAGGCTTTGGGAATATCTTTACCTTTACCTGAACATTAAATAAATTAATGTACCTGAGCAGGTCACGCCGTCTCCAGAGTACCCAGTGTTACAGGAACAGCTGAAGGAACCCCGGTTGTTGGTACAGGTGGCGACGGAGTGACAATTATGGGAACCCTCGACGCATTCATTGATATCTGCAATTCACAGCGGTGACTGTTAGCTGTAATTTCTTCGTCGAGTGTGTGCTAACTATGAGCTCACTACTTGTTTAATTTGCTGTATAATTTTCAAGCTATAGTTATCAAGCTCAAAAAGAAGGAGTAATAGTTTACAGCCCGTCTGGGCCCGTCTGTACATATAGACATATGTTTTACTTCTGTCATTGTGTGTACATTGTATTTTTATCTGCATGTTTTATATGGGCGAGCTATGCCTGAAATAAATGATAAAGAATAAAGAAAAAAGAAAGAATAGCAACGCTTTGCAATACATACCCTGACACGTAACACCGTCCCCATGATATCCAGTATTACAGGCACAGGTGAATGACCCGGGTGTGTTGGTGCAGGCAGCGTTAGTGTTACAGTTATGTGTGCTTTCCTCACATTCATCGATGTCTGAAGAGAGGGAAAATGATGGTTTGATTTAGTGTCAAAACTAAAGCAAGTCTTTTGTGTGATTTTAGCTATTCTTTTCATTTCTTTACATAATTATCCTGGTAACAAAAACCATATGAAATGGTAGCAATTTTTACCTTGCCATGATTCACAAGGGTAACAAAAGGATAATTTCTAACACAAGGTACCCAGCATCCTTTTACCATTGATGTCAGCCATTCATTTGAATATATACCTGAGCACGTGACGCCGTCCCCTTGGTATCCAGTGTTACAGGTGCAGATGAAGGATCCCTTGTTGTTGGTACATTGGGCGTTACCATCACAGTTGTGTGTGTCTGACATGCACTCGTTGATATCTGAAAGGGAATTTTTCGTCTAGGTTGCTCTTTGAACACCATTTCTAGTAACACTTTTTACGATATGACTGTTAATCAAGTTGTATAATCAACCACTACATTTAGGTCGCAGATGACTGTGTCCCAACGCAAGCTGCACAAACACAGATGTGATGGGATCACAGTTATCTGTGCCTTCCCCACACTCTTTAACATCTGGCAATCAGGAGAAAATTTTCAAAAATCGAAAACGTGTGTATAGAAGACATGTTTATCATTTTTCTTACATACTTATTTTCTCTGCTGAAACTTCGCGAAATGAATCAATTTATAACAATCCACGCAACCAACGCACAACAGAACAGAACATGTGGGTATCTTTTAATACTGCCAAATGGTGAAAACCCTGTCTGACAGTGTACCATCAGCAAACTAATCTGCATCTAACATACTTTGATTACATATTATATCTACATATTTCAAGTCGTGACCTCGTTGAATTGGCATCTTGGTAGTCCTTCGAGACATCATCAAACACATATCATTAGAAGTACACTCAGACACTCAAAGGGTACATAGCTATAACGTCGTCTTGTTTGTTTTAAAGAGACACAAATAACTCATGTTGTCGTACCTGAGCAAGTCACGCCGTCTCCAGAGTAGCCGGTGTTACAGGTGCAGATGAAGGATCCCTTGTTGTTGGTACATTGGGCGTTACATCACAGTTGTGTGTGTCTGACGTGCACTCGTTGATATCTGAAAGGGAATGATTCGTCTAGGTTGCTATTTAAATACTACTTCTAGTACCGCTTTTGACGATATGACTATTAGATGTTTAAGTTGTATCACGAGTCACTGCATTTAGGTCTCTTCAATTGACTCTACTACTAGCGACACATTTGAAAGTGATCGTCTTATTTCAACTGTGAGGGAAGGTGCAGGAGGTGCCAACTCCGCTGTACCCAGTGTTACAGGTACAGGTAAAGGATCCCTTTGTGTTTGTGCGGCTTGCGTTGGTATCACAGTTATCTGTGACTTTCCCACACTCATAAACGATCTGGCAATCAGGAGAAAGTTTTCAAAAATCTAAAACCCGAGTAAAGAAGTCTAACATACATTGATTACATTTTATATCTATATATTTCAAGTCGTGACCTCCTTAAATTGGCATTTTGGTAGTCCTTCGAGGCATCAACATGATAAAATGACCACATATCATTACACTCAGGCACTCTGGGGGCATAACAATAACGTCGTCTTGTTTTAAAGAGACACAAATAAATAATGTTGTCGTGCCTGAGCAAATCACGCCGTCTCCAAAGTAGCCGGTGTTACAGGCACAGCTGAAGGAACCCTGTCTGTTGGTACAGGTGGCGTCGGAATGACAGTTGTGGGCATCATCGTCGCATTCGTTGATATCTGCCAAACACAGCGGTGAGTGTGAACTATGTGTTCGCCGTCTGTTTAATTTACTCTGCTGTATTCTTATATTATATCAGTAGGTGATTGTCTGAAGGACCTAACCCACGCCACCGACATTTTAAGAAACGCCGAACGTTTTGATCACAAAAATGAATTTTCCCACAAAGCAGTTATCAAGATCAAAGAGCACGAGTGCTAGTTTGAAGTAACGCATTGCAATACATACCCTGACACGTAACACCGTCCCCATGATATCCAGTATTACAGGCACAGGTGAATGACCCGGGTGTGTTGGTGCAGGCAGCGTTAGTGTTACAGTTATCTGTACCGTCCTCACATTCATCAATGTCTAGAGAGAGGGAAATTGATCGTTCAATTTAGTGTCAAAACTGAAGCAAGACTCTTTGTTGTGATTTTAGCGATTTGAGCTTCATTTGAATATATACCTGAGCACGTGACGCCGTTCCCTCGGTAGCCAGTGTTACAGGCACAGATGAAGGATCCCTTGTTGTTGGTACATTGGGCGTTGACATCACAGTTGTGTGTGTCTGACGTGCACTCGTTGATATCTGAAAGGGAATGATTCGTCTAGGTTGCTCTTTGAATACCACTTCTAGTATCACTTTTGACGATATGACTGTTAAATAAGTTGTTTAATCAATCACTGCATTTAGTCTCTTCAATTGGCTCTACCACTAGCGACACATTTGAAAGTGATCTTCTCATTTCAACTGTCTGTCTGTTGGCTTGGCTTCGTTATCGAAGATTCAGTGGCCGACCTTCCCAATTCTGCTGCACGTTCGCTGTGCAGCAGGTGCAGCGTTACATGTACAGGTAAAGGATCCCTTCGTGTTTGTGCAGCCTGCGTTGGGATCACAATCATCTGTGACTTTCCCACACTCATCAACATCTGGCAATCAGGATAAAGTTTTCAAAAATCTAAAACGTGTGTAAAGAAGTCATGTTTATCTTTTTCTTGCATACTCATTTTCTCTGCTGAAACTTTTCCAAATGAATCAATTTACTCAACAAACGCACAACAGGACAGAACATGTCGATATCTTTACTGCCAAATGGTGAAAACCCCGTCTGACAGTGTACCATCGGCACACTATTCTACATCTAACACACTTTGATTACATTTTATATCTAAATATTTGAAGACATCAACATGATCATTAGAAGTACACACAGACACTCAAAAGTCGTCTTGGTTGTTTTAAGAGACACAAAGATGTTGTCGTACCCGAGCAGGTCACGCCGTCTCCGAAGTAGCCGGTGTTACAGGAACAGCTGAAGGAACCCTGGTTGTTGGTACAGGTGGCGTCGGAATGACAGTTGTGTAACTTATGAGTACTTTCGACGTCGCATTCGTTAATATCTGCAAAACACAGTCAATGAGTGTTAACTTAAAAGTCTCTTCACAGAGAGTGAAATATATGCTCATTATTTGTTTAGATCAATCTGCCGTCAGCAGGTAATTGTCTCAAGGCAATGACCAACAGACATTATAAGCAATCTCCAACGTTTTCATTGTAAAAAGAATCTCAAATAGTATGGCCATTTAAAGCAATGCTACGCAATACATACCCGCACACGTGACGCCGTCTCCTTGGTATCCAGTATTACAGGCACAGGTGAATGACCCGGGTGTGTTGGTGCAGGCAGCGTTAGGATCACAGTTATGTGTGCTTTCCACACATTCATCGATGTCTGACGAGAGGGTACATGGAGATGATGATATTATTAGAGTCAAAACTAAAGCAAAGTGTCTTTTTACTTATTGTTTTCAGTCGTTCTTTAATATAAATTTCATATCTAAGATAAATATGAAATGGTGCACGAACAACTTCAGTAGTCCAAAATATTCTCCTAGCAATATTTCACCTTGCCATAACTCGCCAGGGGAGCAAAACAATAGTACTATGCCATACCACACTTTTAGCATTGATATCAGCGATTCAGTTGAATATACCTGAGCACGTGACACCGTCCCCTTGGTATCCAGTGTTACAGGCACAGATGAAGGATCCCTGGTTGTTGGTACATTGGGCGTTACCATCACAGTTGTGTGTACCTGATGTGCACTCGTTGATATCTGAAAGGGAATGATACGACTAGGTTGCTCTATGAATAACACCTCAAGTACAATTTTTAATGGTCAGTAGTGACTATAGATACCATCTTTCACAGTCACTGCGTATAGATTTTATTATCTTGCCACTATCAATGGCGACACATTTAAACGTAAGCTTTGAACTTTAAACTTTAAGCTTTAACCAGAGGTATTACCTATTATCTATATACCTTGGTCTTTTCAAAATATTTGATTAAACACACCTGTGCAGGACGTGCCAACTCCGTCGTACCCAATATTACAGGTACAGGTGAAGGATCCCTCCGTGTTTATGCAGCTTGCGTTGGGATCGCAGTCATCTGTGTCTTCCTCACACTCATCAATATCTGGTGGGAAATTTCAAAAGAAAGGAAAACGTGTGTATAGAAGCCGTGCTTATCTTTAACATATGTGTTATCTCTACAGAAACTAATAGTATGCGAAATAAATACAGTTATGAATAAATAATGTTATCAAAAACCATGCTTCCAATACACAACAGAACATAATATACTTTACTTTCTAAAGATATATCGTTTACTGCCTGATGGTAAACCCCGTCTGATAGACCTTACGTTAAGTTTCCGAAAACATGTTTAGGTTTATTTCCATATATTTAGGATTGTAATGTTATGGTTTGTTTATAAGAAGCCTGCCGTTTGCTTTGATATCATGATCCACGTGACTGCACAGAACCATTATACACATGCTCAATTATGACTCCTCAGATGTGTACAACGGCTCTATCAATCATGCGGTTGTTGTATTTTAGTGATTTCTTTTCTCATAGAATTTGGAAAATGATATTTTGTTCTTGGTATCAAGAACATATGTTTCACTGACAGGTACATAAGGTGTGTAGTATAAGACAGTTGTAAGCTCAAAATGATTCTTCGATATGTCAAGCCATAGCCAGCAAATGAACAACGTTGTACCACAAATGTACATGTAGTTGAAAGTATTATGAAAGGATACACATTACCATCGCTTTTTATAGCCACCATTACCTGGAAAATAGGCCACCGAGTTACGTGAAAGCACTGGTGCTCCAATGCAGTACAGGCTTGCAGTTAGGGATTAAGAGCGACATGATTTATGCATATTGCAATTACAAATGTATGGCAGCAAAGCTCGGGAGGCTTTAGAAACATTTACGAACCTTGACAAAATACACCATCCCCTGAGTAACCCTGGTTACAGGTACAGTAGCATAAACCATTAGGAAGCTTGCCGTAAGACGCATGCACATCACATGGCATTGGCATCTGTAGGCAGTCGGGTTGTTGTCTTTTGCAAATGAACCTCCTGTGTGCGCTACAACTGGAGGTTCCCCACTTCTCCTTACTGAGGATCCCACAGCGTCTGTTTCCATTCGGACGAGGTTCGTTCTTGTCCCAGTTCTCGTAACGCTTAAAGGAGAAAGAGGTAAGTAGAGGTAAAAATGCTTGCACATTAACTGGCATTGTAATTGAATGGACGATCTGAACAACAAAGTAAGTACATAATGTATTTGCATCAAGGCCACTTCCCCCACTTACTTGGTGGTCGGTGATATAGATGATTTCGAGGTGACCAGTATAGGCCTAATTTCTGAGCATGTCATCAATATATCACACGTGATACACTTCCTATTCATAGGTTACTTTGTAAAGTCAGAAGGGAGAAAATAATTATCAGATCAGCTTACCAACGGTGACCCGTCAATCCAGAAACATGATGACGAGTCCCCGGGACATGATATGCCTGTTGTGAACTTTTCATCTGAAAGATAAAACAGTAGGCTTAGAGGAGAGAGGTTGTCAGTTAATTGGTTTACTCGTGGTTTCGCTGGATGTTTATAATTGAAAAAAGAAGAAGGAGATTTCAGATTTCCAGGAGGTATATGCAATCCTAGGCTTACTGAATTTCGGCAACTCATTCATAGATTTGCTGGCTCCCGACCAGATTATGAGACGTTCAGTGTCTGAGTCAGATCTTTTGACATACTTCCATTCTTACTGTAAGTCTGTCAATCTACTATGTCCGGATAAACCCACAGCTCAGCCACCAAAAGAAAACTTTTATATCTAGTTAGGAATATGGACTCTGATAGCGTTAGCTAGACACAATGTTTAGACATACTGGTCACTGATGAAACCGCGGAGCATTTCCCGGCACTGGCGGATCGTTTGTTGACGGGACCTGAGCCTGCGGTGCTCTGGCTTCCTCCGGATCCCGATTGTTGGCTGCTGCACAGTGGCTGGATCAAATCTGTATGGACACCAGGTACCGCAGTTTGACACTCATTCTAACTGTAACTGTTAACGCAAAGTCTATATTTGAAATTTTAAGAAATGTTCAATTTATGAAACCAACAGACATTCTGTAGTACTATATTTGATATTGTGATTTGCCTCACCATAGATGAAGTCTTGCTCATTCTTGGACAGTATGCTGACAAGGTGTGCCGACAAATCTTGGCAGACTTGGTCGGCGTCGTTCCATGCCATCTTTGTATCTCCAGACACGCAATATGACGCGCCTTCAAACTCTCTCCAAGTATCATTGCTTTGGCACAGACCTAGATGTTTGAAAATAAACATTATTATTTTGTTTGAAGGACAGGTTTCACGGAATGACCGGAACATGTATAATGAACCAACCTTTAGTAGCCCAAAACAGTAGCACAGATGGGTTGCACCAAGTAAGCCCAACGCAATCAACGGCAAATCTACTAATCACGTTTGTAATATGGCTTGTTTTATATATGATAGAATGGCAAAAAACATATGCATATCAACAGCGACGCCACCTGTACTAACAGCAAAGAAAACATTGTGATATACTACATACCATCCTCTGTAGAGGCTGAACTGTCAGCGCTCCCTGAGCTTTTCTTCGCGGACTTAGGGCCTTTGGAGGTGCTGTCGGTGCCATTTGATGCATGGCCTTTTGACTGTTTACTGGTACTCTCAGATGGGGCTACGGAATGGAACAAGACATAATATCATTTCCTACATATTCAGTCAGGTGCTGCTAACTGATATTGCTACACCTAATATTGTGACAACTACCAGTTCATAATGTCAATTAGCGATGAATGAACGGGAGAATATGTCAGCATGAGCATAAAAAAGAGTTAAGATAATATGCTACATACCACTTTCTTCCAATGAGGCTTTATTACTCTTAGGGCCTTTCTTGTTGGCTGAACCCGAACCTGCCGAGGTGCTGCCGGTGCTATTTGTTGACTGACCTCCTGATTTGTCACTCTCGGCTACATTTGTGTCGGGATAATGAATAATGATATCACTTACTCTCAGGTGCTGCTAACTGGCATTGCTTCATGCTATTCCACCATGGGCATCTTAAATCGTATTTAACGACGAATGCACAAGAGAATATGTCAGCATCAGCAAAAGAAAACGTTAAGATAACATGATACATACCACTAGCTTCCGATGAGGCTTTATTACTTTTAGGGCCTTTCTTATTGGCTGAATCAGAACCTGCCGAAGTGCTGCCGGTGCTATTTGATGACTGACCTCCTGATTGTTTACTGTTACTCTCAGGCCGGGCTACATGTTTACGGGACGGGAACAAGGGATGGTGTGACTTGCTATCTGCCAGATGCTGTCAACGCTCCATTTTAATTACTACCATGCCACACGCATTTTATATCTATGGATACACGTAAGGCAGAAGAGAAAATACCATCAAGCAAAACGTTCACATACATGTATGCTACATACCAGTTGTTGTTAAAACCTGCGATGATTCCTTATTACTTTTAGAGCTTTTTTTCTTGGCTGAACCAGAACCTGCGGAAGTGCCGCCTGATGCATGGCTTCCTGACTGTTCACTGTCGCTCTCGGGTTGTGCTATGTTCGTAAGGTGGGGAAAGGAATAAAATAACTTGCTGTCTAGATCTGCTGACCGTCATTATCAGAAGGAACGATATGATACGTACCGGTCGCTGTTGAAGTTTGCGATGAATCTTTACCCTTGGAGCTTTTCTTCTTGCCAGAACCTGATTCTGCGGAAGTGCTGTCAGCGCTGTCCGCTGCCTGGCCTCCTGGATGGGTACTGACGCTCTCGGGCTGGGCTAAATGCATACGAGTTGGGAGCAAGGAATAATACCACTTGCTGTCGAGCGCTGCCGACCATTAATAATACCACAACAAGGCTAGCACTAAGTGGACCCGGTGGCTATCAACCATATGTCATATTACAAAATATGACCAGAACAGAAGATAAATATAGAATACTAAACGGTGTATTCTGTATCGCCCGAGGGCCCAGTTCGACCACGGGTTATGCAGAATACACCGTGTTGTATTCTATTTTTGTCATACCCACCCGAGAAAACAGACTTTTCAATGCGAAATGTGCAAACATTTGGAATGTCTAAACAAAAAGTGTAACGGCGTCAATTCCAACATCCGAATTCGGTGTTCGAAGTTTCACTCGGTGCGCGCGAAACGTGTTTGAATTATTGCATTGTATTCCATGGTACATTTCGAAGCCCGTGTGATAATGATAGAACCCCGGGCCGTACTACTAGTTATCACACGGGCCGGAAGACCCTTATCGAACGCAATCGCGGCCCAGGTATGGCATAAATGTAAATATGTCATCACCCATAATATTGCATACCAGTCGTTGTTGAAGCTTGCGATGAATCTTTACCCTTGGAGCTTTTCTTCTTGCCGGAACCTGATTCTGCGGAAGTGCTGTCAGCGCTCGCCGATGCCTGGCCTCCTGGATGGTTACTGACGCTCTCGGGCTGGGCTGAATGCATACGAGTTGGGAGCAAGGAATAATAATAGCACTTGCTGTCGAGTGCTGCCTCCCATCAATACCATAAGGCAAAGTTATGTGTCATATTACAAGTATACACGGCAAAAGAAGACACCGTTTAGATATGTCATAATCGATAATAGAAGATGTTATATTGTGATACACA